TTGCCGTCTCAATGAATGTGGGTGGGAAGAGAGGAAGGGAGAGAATTTGGAACTCAAAATTTTAAAAACATGTTAAAAATTGTTTTTACATGCAAACGAGAAATAAGATATATCAGCAATGGGGTATAGAAATCTATCACGTCCTACAGGAAAACAGAAGGTGAAGGGGATAAGAGAAGGAGGAGAGTGATAGAAGGGAGGGCAGATTGGGGAAAGGGTATTTAGAATGTATACCATTTTGGAGTGGGGGGAGGGGAGAGATAGGGAGAAAATTTGGAACTCAAAATCTTGTGGAAATGAATGTTGAAAACTAAAAACAAATTAATTAATAAAAAATAAAATTCTAAACAAAAATATTGGTTTTAAATAAATTTTTTAAAAAAGTATCTTCATTTTAAGCTGCATTCAATAAAATATCATTAACACTTGTCAACCTTACAAAGTTCATTCTAAGAAAGACAGAAAAAATTAGGCTGTATGCACATTATTATTTCTCTCAAAGTGAGTGGACATGCATACGGATGTATGGTGGTTATTTGGAAATAAGCTCAATGAAAGGCCAGTTAAAGGAGACTATATACCCATAGAGCAAGGAAGTATCCTCCACCTGTTCCCTTCCTGACTCAGGATGCCTGTGTTCTTTGTCAGCCATAAACATGGGAATGTCATAAATTACATTAAATTAGAGATAATAATAATGTAGTTCCTAACATATGCCAGTCATTGTGTTAAGCATTTTACAATCATTGTATCATTTTGATCCCACAACAACCACCATTATTGTTTTTCCTTTACAAATCAGGAAATGAGGCAAACAGAGATAAAATAACCTGCTATAAATTACATAGCTGATATATTTCTGTAGCTGGGACAGATAAGGGTGGGCTTACCAAGGGCAGAGGCTGGCTGGTTGTACTGTCACACTAGGCTCTGCCAAAGACACCCAGATTCTCCCAGGCAGCTGGGTGCTGGGGGATGCAGCAGAAGGCACTGCCTAGTGGCTGGGGTGGCTGGTGCCAGGGCCTTCCTAGTAGTGGTAATTCTTGGTGGCAGGGTTCAGGGAATGCTGGCCATAAGGCCTGACCTGTCCCCCTTTCCCTTTCTTCACAGCTGCAGATGCTGCTGGGGCTGGGGACACTTGCAGTAGTTGGGGTAGAGTGGCCAAGATGTACTGCATCTGGGTGATACTTCCAGGCTTTTCCTAGAGGGGTGGACAGCAGGCTGCTCGGGGGCATAGGGCCATTGGGGTCACTGCCAGTGGGGCCCCGCTGCTGCCCCACCTCCTTCTACCAGGTGGGGAAGGGTAGTTCAAGTTTCCCCTACAATTCTCTAGCGTTCTCTTTTCTTAATCTGATCTGAGATAAGAGGGGTTAACAGGGAAAACATGATACTGTTTACAATGCTAGTACTGAGATACACTCTTGATTCCAGTGGGAGGGAGTAGGGAATGCTGAGTGATCAGAATTGAGAGGAGGTATTTCAGCAGGGGGTGAGTTTCTAGAATTACCCCAAAGTCTCAAGAGTTTTCTCCTGCAATCTTATAATGATTAATTTCCAAACTCCTTAATGATTAATCTCAAAGCTTCCAGAATCTGCTAAGATGTTTTAGCAGCTCCAACTTCTTTATCTAACTTTTTTTCTGCGACCCCAACTTGGCCAGAGCTGAGATCACAGAAGAAAAAAAAAGTCATACACTTTTCCTCTTTTAAAAAATAATCTAACCTCTCATGGAAAGCCTTCAGGAGAACAATTCCTATGAATTGTTCATAAGTCCAAGCTCCAGTGGCTGGTCTAAGTCACGGCACCATAACTGTCAACCTTACAGAGTTTGTTCTAAGAAAGACAAACAAAATTAGGATGTATGCACATATTTATTTCTCTTAAAGAGGGCGGATATGCATATTGAATGCATGGTAGTCATTTGGAAATAAACTCAAAGAAAGGCCAGTTGAAGGAGACTATATACCCATAGAGCAAGGAAGTGTGCCCCCCTTCCCTTCTTGAAGCAGGATGCTGGTGTCCTTTGTCAGCCACAAACATGGGAATGTCATAAAACATGAATGTCCTAACAGGATAGTGTTCATCAAATGAGAAGAGAAGTGCTACTAATCAAGATAATGTCTGCTTCAAAGTGCCTGGTCATATCATTATCAATCATAAGCAGAAGAATGCTCCCAATCAGCTTAATTTTGGGGTTCACTCAGAGAGCATGTGAACCATTATGGTATGTTAGCTCAGAATGGGCCAAAATATCTTTTTCCTAATTGGCTAATCCAGACTTTTGGCCTTTTTCAGATGAGGGATGTGGGGCTCAAGGTGATTCACATACCAGATAAATGAGATCACCAAGAAAAAGGTTTCAACTTCTTCTTGCTGAAGTCATTGTGGAGGGTTAAATGAAATTAGCAAAATTTTCATAGATAGGAAAGTGAAAATTTGTTTTTTTTTTAAGTTTAAAAAGACATCAAGAGCCAGTCATCTCAATCCCTTCATTTTAAACTTGAGGAAAATGGACCTTAGAAAAATGTCAAGTGACTTGTTTTAGGTCATATAGGTAGTAAGTAACAGATCTAAAATTTGAACCAGGTCCCATGACTTTACATTCAGTACACTTTCACTACACTCTACAGGATTAGATGTGAGAAATATGAAAATTCAGGGTAAAACAGAACCAACACACCAAAAAAAAAATGGAAAGGAGGTTGGAATACAGAATAATTTGCCAAACTGAAATCAGAGAGTGTCTGCATTGGCTTGCTAAGTCAACAGTTACCACAAAAAGCTAATATTTGTTTGGGTTTAAAAAAAAATTGACACCCATGCAACACAGGTTTCTAAGATTCCTAATCAGGGTAAAAGGATTCTAGAGAGACTTGAATAAGCTAGGAAATGGACATGGGTGTACATTTTCCAGAGTTCTTGGGTTTGTTTTTCCTTTGACCTTTGAGAGACTTTGGCCAAGAGTTTTCAAGTGTTAAGTCAGAGAAGTAGGAAGAATCAGAGCAGAACAAAGCAGAGCAGGATTGAAGATCACTTTTTGAAGCTATTAATAGATTTGAACAGATTGAAAGAAGCAGGTATAGATACATGGTGTGCATCATGGAAGTGGGTGATTCTGTTGTTGTTATGGTGGGACCAAATACTATCAGTTAATATTTATGCAAGACTCCAATGTTGAAGACACTGTGTTTGGTACTTTAGATAAATATATGAGGGAAATGCACACACATGTGCATGCACACGCGCACACATACATACATTCTCTCTTTGTAATGAGACAATTCTAAGCAATGAATTTTCAGCTTATCAAAACTAAATGAAAGGACAGCTGTTATATCTTGGGTAACAATGATACATTTATTTCATTATAATTTATTTTCCATTCATAGAAAGGACAAAGCACAGTCTTAGTCTACTCAATTGAAAAAATGATAAAAAATAACTAAAAAAAATATCCAAGCATCATCATTATCAAATAAAACTATGAATATCATCTTTCCTGAAATATAAAGAAACAACAAATATGTCTATATCTATATAAACTGCAATTAAGAACCTTGTGTCTTAAAACAGATAACTCATTAGTTGGGTTGGCAATGGTTTAAACGTAAGATCACAATTAATTAGTATAATTTTGTGGAACAATAACAAAGCAAAGTTACATGATCATTATGTGAGCTATTGTGAAGTAGTTAATCCTTACGATATTTTTTAAATCCCTAAACTCTTTGTTTTCTTTTACCTTTTATAATTACTCCATGCAAAAAAAAAAACTAAACATCATATATTAGGATAAGAAAAAGGCAAGCAAGCATGTATCAAACAAAAGAATGTACTGTTGATTATATAAAAATGTCCAAATGGGTCACATTAGAATAAGAAAACCCAGAGAGAAATAAAAAAATCAAACATGTGCAAAAAGCTTACAGAGTATTAATTTTTCTTAGATATGAAGATTTTTTTTCTCCCAACCAATTTTATGTTTTGTGCAACTTAATAATGATCTTAAAATTGCTGAGTCTCTCTCTGTGGGAAATTATCCATTTTACTTATTTTATTAAAAAGTCTCTAATAACAAATACTTAGAAGCAAATGAATGCAATATTACTATTTTTATAATGAAGACTTTAACATTTACATTAAATATACAGTACAAAAATTATACAATTTAAAGAAAGGGGTGTAAAGTAGTAATAGATCTAATCTCACTTCTTATAAATATTTTTAATGACTAATGTATCCTAAAAAGATAAACTCTATGTTTAATTAGCTAGCAAGGATATGCTAGTAAAATATGATTCAGAGCTTATTATTCTTGAAGCACGATTACTTGAGAAACTTGATTCATTATCAGTGAGTTTCTTCCACATTCACACTCAATATTTTGAACCTACCAAGGTAAATAAAAGAATGCTCTTTTTTTCTCACAATCTATAAAAACTCACTAACAAAAACTCTTAAGACACAGTCAGAATGTAAACATTATTGGCTACTGTTAGATATCCAAGTTCTTTTATTCTTAAGAAAAAAAACAAACAAAAATATTGGTATGCTGTTTTGGTGCCCCTTAGCCTTTTTTTTTTTCAGTATTCCATCAAAGTGGGAAATTTTCTCAGAAATCATTTTAGAGAATACTAAAAGCTTTTCATACCCAAAGCTAATTGCCTAATTTCATACCTTGACAAAAGGAAGTTAATACATGGGAATGAAGGATTGAAAAGAAGGAATAATGTTATTAAATCATTGTAATCTGACTCCTTTTTGTGCTTCTGATGAATAACAATTATTCATTTCCAATCTTCTCTCACATCTTAAAAAAGAATAAAAGTATTTAGTAATTCAGAATCAGAATTCCACATAAGAATGAAAAGGCTAACTAAAATTTTAGCTAAAAAACAAAACTGAGGTTTCATAAAATAAAATAACTTGAAAGTAGAATTTATCATCAGTATGACAAAAAATCTAAATTACCACTATTTAGAAAACTACTCTATTTTTAAAAATCCAGTGCTATTAGATAATTCAAATGTTTATACTTTCACTGAAAAACCTTCATAACTAGACTGCTTTCAAAATGCTTCAAATATTAAAATGTGCATTTCTAGGGTGGGGAAAGCTCTACAAGACGAATTCAATGTTTTGCTTTGACTGTGCCTCCAAAAACAAAGTATCGTGAATGATATGGCCGTTCTAAAATACATAGGACACAAAACATATAGAAGAATACAAACAGATCAAGTTATTCTTACATTTATCACATAAATTAATGTTTCAATCTCTAGTATACTTCACAACTTGTTATTAAAGCACCCTTGGATGGTGATTTTACTCTTACTATACAATCTATATTAGTGGATGTTAACAATTAATTTGCTCTATTGACCAAATCATGCAACTGTCACAAATCAGTTTGAGAGTTTTATAAGGCATATTGTAACAAGTTAAAATCATTTTGTATACATCCCAAAGAGTATTCATTAGATGAATGGGTTCCTGGATGCCTCAGTCCTTGAATTTACTGTAACCCAGCAGGGAAATTTTTTAAATATATAATTGATTTGGCTTAGGATAGTGCCACAGGAATCAGAAAGAATGGTAGTCCTTAAAGATTTGAAGAGCATTCACAACTGTACATTGATAGCAGATATCCACTACCATTAGAATTCCCAAAAAGCTAGGATGCCAAAGGTAGGCAGCAATAAGCCAAAGAGACTAGGCGAAACTTCAGATGCACCTAAAAAGTAAACATAGTTTGTTATTTGTGATTAATTAATAGGTATCATAATAATTCAATCAAAAATGAGGAAAATCCAGAATATCAAATGGCTCCTTTCAAGTCAGCTTTTTACCAGTCTGCACCACAACTAAATTTGGACTAATGAAATGATTTCTATGATGTCTGGTCTCTGTAGTTCAGTATCCCTTTCTTATATAAGCAGGATATGGTTTTGCTTAGAATTTTGTAGTTAACAAGTGCTACCTACTCTCTGAGGAACATAAATTGTTATTTTTTTCTGCTATAAGACTATATATATACATATATATATATCCATTAATATTTATAACATTCATAAATAGTTATATTAGTAAGTAAAGCCTTTATTCGATATTTGTGTATATGAAGGTTTTCCAGGCACTGAGTTAGCACTTCACAAGTATAAGTTGGGGTGGGGTAGTGATAGAGGTGGAGAAACATAAGCACCATTATGAAGCTTTGGATCCCTCCCTTGCCAAAATAATCCAAGACTACTTGGTGTTCATTTGTAGGTGTCAATTACTCCTTGCTTTTTTGTTTAAAACCTAAAATCTAACCTGTTTGCCCAGTGATTGGATGTGTTCATCTGAATTGAGTCAGCCCCACAGCCCTGAGCATTAAAGTTAGCTGATTGTTAGCTAATTTACATAAACTAGGGAACATTCTATTTTTGTGGAATAATCCACCAATAGTAGAGGCTACAAATAAGTGCTACCATGCCCAGATATCCCCAGAGACTCCTACAACCAATATGCAGTAAGCACAAAAATAAGTAGATGCACATACAAAGAACAGATAACTGAGTAATGTTTTACTGCACCAGTCACTTTAAATAGAGAAAACAAGTCAAGTAGAAAGTGGGTATTTTGCATCTGTGTAACACTTCAAAATGTACACATATCTTGACTTGACTGAAATACTGAATAAATACAGGCTTTAAAGTGATAGCACTGGTTCTGAAGTCAAAGGACCTGCGATAACATACTAACCCTATTACTATCTGTGTGACTTTGTACAAATCACTTCCCCTCTGTAGCCTCAATTTTCTCATCTGTAGAATGAGGAATAGACTAGCACCGATAAGGACCCAATAAGTTCTAGAGCTAAGATCCTATGAGCTATATATACTTTGATTTGATTACATTTATCACACAGAAAAGCAATTTAATTAAAATGGGACGTTTGCTGAAAAACTACACTATTTTATCCAGAGAGTACAGTCAATGGCTTAAAGTATGATTTGGTAAAACATTTGATATTCAATACAAAATTTTAGCCAAATAATTTGTTTAATCAAGTCAACAAGCACTTATTAACCATTTACTATATACCAGTCACTGTGTTAAGTGCTTGAGATAGAAAGGCAAAAAGTACCTTCCCTCAAAGTGGTGGAGACAACCTGAAAACAAGCATGTTTAAGATAAACTGGAGATAACCTCAGAGGGAAGGCACTAGCATTGTGAAGAATCAGAAAAGGTTTCTTGCAGAAAGTGGGATTTTATTTTTAGGCAGTTGGGGTTAAGTGACTTGCCCAGGGTCACACAGCTAGTGTCAAGTGTTTGATCTGAGGCTGGATTTGAACTCAGGTCCTGAATCCAAGGCCAGTGCTCTATCCACTGTGCCACCTAACTGCCCCAGAAAGTGGGATTTTAGCTGAGACTTAAAGGAATCCAGGGAAGCCAAGAGATGGAGATGAGGAGGGAGAGAATTCTAGACTTGGGGATAGCCAGTCAAAATGCACAGGATGGAGAAATGGAGTATCTTATTAGAGTATCTTGTTCAGTGTTGCTGAATCACACAATATTGAGTGGAATAATGTGTAAGATTAGAAAAGTAAGAAGGAGCCTTATATAGGGCCTTAAAAGTCAAAGAGAATATCCCAAAGAGATCATACAAATGGTTAAATGACCCACATGTACAAAAATATTCATAGCAGCTCTTTTTGTGGTGGCAAAGAATTGGAAATTGAGAAGATGTCCATCAATTGGGGAATGGCTGAGCAAGTTGTGGTATATGAATGTAATAGAATACTATTGTGCTATAATAAATGATGAACAGGCTGACTTCAGAAAAACCTGGAAAGACTTGTATGGTCTGATGCTGAGTGAAGTGAGCAGAACCAAGTGAACAATGTACACAATAACAGCCACATTGTGCGATGACTAATATTGATAAACTTAACCCTTCCCAGCAGTACAAGAATCTAAGACATCTCCAAAGACCTCGTGATGGAAAATGCTATCCACATCCAAAGAAAGAGCTATGGAAGTTGAATTGCTATTTTTTTTCTCTTCTGTTGAGTTTTGTTTCCTCTTTCTGGTGGTTCCTTCTATTGGTTCTAATTTTTACTTACAGCATCACTAATGTGAAAATATGTTTAATAGGAATGTATATGTATAGCCTATATCAGATTGTGTGCCGTCTTGGGGTGGTGAGGAGGAAGGGGGAGAAAAATTTTAAACTCAAAAGCATATGGAAGTGATTGTTGATAAATCAAAATAAATTAATAAAAAATTTTTAAAAAGTCAAAGAGAAGGTTTGGATGATTTTAGGGGACCACTGCTTATGGAATGAAAAGGTGGATCTGTGATTTAGGAAGATCACATTGATAGATGAATGGAGGAGGATGGACTGGAGTGGGGAGATACTTGAAACATGAACACCAACCAGAAGAATACTCCAAGTGTCCTGAAGTGAGGTGATGAAGGGCATGCACCAGGGCGGTGACAATGTCACAAGAGAGTAGGGGACATATGTGTGGGATACAAAATTACACATTCTCTTGGTTTTTAGTGAAAGTGTTCTAATCTTTAAAAATACTTCTTAATAAATGTTATGGTACCTTCATTTCTCCTGACATTTGACATATTTTATATAATGCTTTGGCACACATCTCCTTTGAGCCTCAAAATTACTCCTCAGGTGTAAGGTACATATGGCAAATATTATAGTCTTTACAGATTGTAAGACTAAAGTATAGAGAAACATTTTGATATTGACATTGACGTAAGTCATATTGTTGGTAAACTGAACAGAGGTTCCCAACTATAAGGTCAGTGCTCTTTATCCTGTACTATAGTGTACACTATATACTATAGTGTACACTATACACAAACATATTATGCACATTCCTATTTTACCAATGAAAGAATTGAAACACAGAGAAATTAAATATTGTATCCAAGCTCACACAGCTAACAAGCTAACAAGAGCAAAATTGGGAGAACCCAAGTCACTTGACTATGTCAATCTTCACTCCCTTTTAAAGACATTACAATGCGCTGATTTAAAATGTAGTTATCATTCTAGTACTCTTCATCATACACCTCATACATATTATGTTATGCCTATACAGAAAAAAACTTTCAAAATAAAACACAAATTAGCTCTGCCAACATTAATTATGTTCAGAAGGAATGAGATTAGGAAGAAAGGAAGGAATGAAGATATAAAGAATAAAGGAAGAAAGGAAAGGAAGAAAGGAAAGAGGAAGGGAGAGAGGGAAAGGAAATAAGCATTTATTAAGCATCTACTATGTAATGCCAGGCACTGTGCTAAATGATTCAGAAATATTATCTTAAACCTGACATTTGCTTAATTAATAGATATGAAGGGTTGTAATACTATAAAACATTTAATATTTATTTTAGAAGTTTATATATATTTGCATTAAAATACCTATAATTTACACTTTAATTTGTATGTGCAGCAAAGTCACAAAAGCATTCAATCACATATAAAAACTACTTTTGTAAGTATTACAGTAAAGTAGTTATATGGTCATTCATTAAAGTAGAATTTTGATACTTTTACATCTCAGGAAATCAAATTATTAAGTCAATACTGTCTGAAAGAGAGATATGGTAGATCTTTCTTCATCGGCTCAGTTCAGTTACAGAACATTTTATCTTTTCAGAAAGACTCATCTGTCAAATAATGACAGAAGAAAGGGAAAGTAATGAATACAGAGTACCAGCAAAAACAGAAGATATTTGCATCAAATCAAAAGCAATCCTGGAATATGCCAGTATTTACAGATTTCCTAACTTGTGCATTCATTGTGGAAACATTACTTTCTCTCTGTTCAATAATTAGGAATAGATATTTAGCTCACTGGTTATAGATATAAAAACTAGAACTTTCTATAGTTATATAATACCATTACTAAAAATGTTATTAACCTGCCAGGGTATACTTTTTATCTTATGTTTTGAATTTGTGATTTGTTACATGAATTTTGACATGTTAAAATTTCATCCCTGATCAAAATGCACATGTACATGTGCGATTGTGTGTAAGCACACACATGCTCACAAACACACACACACAGAGAAATAACCTAAAAAGTGATGACCTGAAGAGCTGGTTTCTTAGACACCTGTCTTATATTACGACAATGTAGACTTCCTTTTGTAATTTCTTCTTTACCTCTGACAAATAGAAACATGTTTAGATTCTCTTTAATATGATATGTACTTGTGCTTTGTGCACTTTCCTGTGTCTCACTAGTATCTTGTTAGTGGTTCATACAGAACATTAGAGAAGACACACAAAATTTTTGTCTAAAGTCACCTTACCAGGTCAGAGATATTGCTTATTTTTCTAGATTAACTTGGATTTGACTAAGTCCAACACAAGGGTCTATCCATTAGAGAAAATCATGTTGCAACAGGTTATTATTGCTGTCTATCAAAAAGCAAATGCTTGGGTTGGAAACATCTTTTTGTTTATAAAAACTTTATTAACTTGAAATGTCATCAGGATATCTAAGTTGATAATACAAGAAGCAGCTAGAAATAAAGGAGTAGAGCTTTGGGAATCGTTTGAGGCAGAAACAGAGAATTGGGATTCCTCTTCAGAGAGGATAAAGTCAAGAGAGTGAGAAAGAACCCCAAGAATGAGAGTGTAGAGGTACAGGGGAGGAGAACCAAGGGCAAGATCACTGAAATACTTGTTTTAAGAAAATAAAGAAATGAATGAATATGTACGTTCTGAGAACATTAATTTTGTCAATATACACATTATTTTATTTGTTTCATTAACGATTTCCAAATTATATTTTAATTTGGATTGGGTCACACTTGGGAGTGTTGCATGCTGCAAAGTGGCCAGTGGGCTGTGTGGTTGACACCTCTGATCTGTATCCTTGAAAAGGATAGATAGACATCTTTGCAAAGATAGAGTTGCACTTCATCTTTGAGGTCAATAGAATTGGGAAGAAAAAGCAACCCTGTTATCAGATCATGCAGTTTGCCTGAATTAACTCCTGCCCCCATTCTTCTACAGACTCACTATACACCTAATGTAACTACTTCCATCATGCTTAGGTTGAACACAAGAAACTACAAGACCCTCAAATGTTGCACCCAACATGCATCTAGGGATGTCCCAAACTAAATTCTTTATAAGATCAGACTGCATCATGTCAGTACACACAGAATGCTATTATTGATGGGCTATGTACTCTAGGCACGCCTGAAAAAGCTACACAAGCCCAATCTGTATCCTAGGAAATTGAAGCTGCTGCAAGACAGTAAGATTCCTTAGTGTATTAATAAATTTTATTTCTCTTCAACTTGGCTACTTCCTTCATTTGACCTCCAGTATCAGGGACCTCCCTCCTGGTTGAGAAATTCCTCAACAAGCTCATTCTTAATGTTTCTCTTCTGCCATATTTTCCTCCACCTTAACATTCTTGTATTCCAAGACTATTGTTTTCACATCCATTTCATTGAAGAAACTCTTCACCTTAGATTCAATTTTTTCTGGTATCTGGATTTAGTTTTTCTTTTCTTTTTGCTTTGATAACTTATAAATTCTAACATTTGTTGTAAATGCTAAAAGGTCTTGTTTAAAATTACCTTCAACCATTTGTTACTTCTTAATACTCTTATTACTCTAAGACTGATACAACTTGACTACACTTGACTTATTTAGTATGGAATAGAAAATTAGTAGACTTTCTAACCTTTACAACCATCCAACAGCAGTATGCACAAAATTTTGACCTGAGCATGTAGTATTTGATAAGATTTGTTGGACTGAATGAATAATACCAATTCTCCATATGAGAATGATAGCTATGTTGAAAGAATCAGTATATAGAGTCAGAATATCTATTCTGTCATAGCTATGAATAAAGCTGATCCAGCTGATCAGCTGAAGCAAGTTCTGATTACCTTAGGCTGCCTTGATCCTAAAGAGCTTTGCTCATAATATATAGAACTTTCTTGCTGCTCAAGAAATTGAAGAGCTGACTAGAAAAGTAAATATAACTGAACAGTGGGTTTTGTCTCTATCTATTGCACTGCTTTCTGCACTCAAGTTAATGCATCTACCTTATTATAATCCTTTGGATACTGTTAAACCATTAAGAATAGTACTTGTCATCTTACCATGCTGCTACGTTTTCTGCATTAAGGCAAGTCACAGAAAACTCCAACTAGAGAAATGTATTTTGCTACCAATTAGCAGGTATAAAGTTGAGATCTTAGAATTAAAAAAATATAAATTATCCTTTAAATGAATTGTGCAAATAGCTTAACAGGGGGAGTTTGGGAAGACTTTTTTTTTTTAAAAAAAAAACCTTCCTTTTGTTTTCTCTATAAATATTAAGAAATAATGTTTTTCCAACCTTCCTGACCTTTTCTTTAAGAAAGTGAGTAGAAACAAAGCTAATGGTTTTCTTAGGAAAGCAGATTAAGGGTAGCAACCAAATAAAACTCTTGTCTTGTTTACATTATTGCCTTCCCCACCCCTGAAATTTTGTCGCTGACCTGTCTAAGGGTAGTCCCTTTGGTAATAACTTTGATTTAACTGTCAATAGAATCTGTCCTTTTCATCAATTAAGAATTAAGATACTGATGGAAGAGAGGTCTGGTTATTCAACTATTCTTGAATATTAACCCAGACTATATTTTAAAATATCTTTTCTTTTTCAGAATTCTTATGTTACTTGAAATTATCTTGAAGCATAGTCATGTTGGAGGACATGGGGCCATGCAAACGTGGATCTCTCCTCCCTCCCCATTATAAATGGCTTAGATATTAAAGTAGTCTTAGATCAAATACAATTGTTTCTGGTGAGGTTGAGCCTAAATACAATATCAGTATTAATTTAATTTTTTTCTCTGGCAAGGGGGAAAATTGGCCTTTAATGAAATAGAGATATAAAATTTTCCCTAAGAACTGCTTTAGGTATAACACATATATTTTGTAATTTTGTTTCATCTTTGTCATTTTTTGTATGAAATTTTTTTATTTTCATTTTTTTTCTGATCCACCAGTTCTTTGGAATTTAGTCTCTAATTAATTTAAATTTTTTCTTCAAAGGTCCTTTATTGAATAGAATTTTAATTCATTGTGATTCATGAATAATGTGCTTTGTATTCTACTTTTCTGTATTTTTAATGAAGTGTTGATGCCCCAATACATAGTCAATTTTAGTCAAGCTAAAATGAAAGGTAAGCTTCTTTCTGTTCCCATTTATTAATTGTCAGAGATCTATTCTAATGTTTCCATTCAGGACTTTAAATTCTTTCTTGTTTATTTTTAGATTTATCTAGCTCTGAAAGGAATACACTGAGGTTCTCCACATTTATGGTTTTACTGTCTATATCTTTCTTCCTGAAATTCAATTATCTTTTCCTTTAATTATTTAGATGCTACATTCACCAAATGGTGAATATGTCATGTATTTACATGGATTCATTATGACACCTCTAATCATAAAATACTTTCCCTGTTTATCTCTTTTTTATTATTTGCTGTATATATTTGCTACCCTTGCTTTTTGAAGTTCAGCTGAAGCATGATTAATTCTGCTCTCATCTCTCATTTTTAACTCCATGTGAATCTTTATATCTTAAGTGTGTTTCTTGTAAATAATATATTGTTGGATTTTATTTTCTAATCCATTCTGCTAATTTATGGGTTAATTCGTCCCATTCACATTCATTATTATGATTATTATCTATATTTTTCCAACTGTCCTGTCCTCTTGTACCTTTTCTGCTCTTTGCACCCAAAACACTGTTTACAAATAAGAAGGTGGTAAAAGAGAGTTTCCCTAACACTTGTAATCTATAAATGAATTAATCTGTTTCTGCTCCTTTGCCTCTCATCTCTTCTCCTTGCCCAACCTCTGATATCAGGCTTTTATTCTTCCTTTCATTTCCCTCCTTCATATACTCTAACACTGGAATTTGTTAGGCTTATGATTATTCCTTTACCTATCCTGCCCTACCTCTTAACTTCTTCCCTGCATTCTCCCCTATCCTTTCTCCCTCCTAGTTCCTTTTTGAATTTAATGTATTTTTGCAGCTTTATCTATGTATTCTAATTTTGTTAATTATTATTTCATATGAAAGTAATGTCCACTTTCCCCACCTCCCCATGTTTTCTTTATCTAATGTATCTATTATGTGATAATAATTTCCCCTCTCTCCATCTTTTATCTCCACTATAGTTCCCTGTTTCTGACTTTGAAGACCATTAAAACAGCAAAACCATCATCTGTTTCTCTTATTTATATTTCTCTATGTTATTCTCTACAGTTATTAGAATTCTGAGAAAATGTTTGTTTCTTATTATAGCTAAAGAACAAATCATTTATTTGGATATACAACTAAAAAATTAGAAAAAAAATCAAGCACCACTTAGCAAAAAACAAACAAACAAACAAAACAAATAACAAAGTAGACATTCTGAAAATCAAAGGAAAAATTAATAAAGCTTAATTTAAAGAAAAAGAAACCCAGACAATTTCAGGATTGTTTAAAAGCTGTGTTGGTACTCTTTACATGACATTTAAGAGGCCATTAAGAATTGTGTCATGTGAACTTTAGAAGTGTTGAAGAAACTCTTTAATGCAAGGCATTGGGGAACACTCTTGAAAAGCCAAAGTTTGAATCTGAATCCCCAAAGAACCTTCCAAAATTGAGGGTGTGGATGAATGTGCCAAATGGATCTCAGTTGATTTGTTGAGGACAGCAAATATTTAACTAGGAGAAGAATATATCAGGAATCATCCTATGGCACATACTTGGAGATAAGCAATGCTCCCCTAGTCATTACTGGTGATTAATGTTGTTTAGGGATAAAGGACTTGTACTTTAACACGATGAAGCAATTCTTTTATTAATTTATTACTTGGTGAACCTTAGATGCCTTGGGTTGTGTATATGTTTGTGTTATTTTGGATACATCTTAGGATACTCTGCCAGAGTATTTACATAAAATCTAAAAAGGTAGATCCTAGATATCCCTCAGTAAGCCACAACATTTTAGGAATGTTCTAAGGGCTCTTGAACATTTTAGTCCACTTAGAGAATCCATTGCTATGCTGTCTCAGAAAGTAAGCATTATACTTTGGGAATAATGACATCAATATTTTGATCCTAATGTTAATAAAATGACTTGCATACCTGAAATTTTAATTTGTGATACCACTCCATCTCCTCCATCACTGTGTGCTCGAACCTCCACAATATACTCTCCATCTCTGGGGATTGGGACCTCTATTGAATGCTTATGAGTTGAATATAACTTGCCTTCATGTTCACCATCAGGTCTGTAGAGCACCTTGTAAAGTACCAACATATGAGAAGTTAATGAAATGACATTTACTGAGGTGTAGGGGTAGGGTTAGGAATAGGTACTGGACCTATTATTTCATTAGTATAGAGAACTACCAGATGAGCAAACTCTCTCTACCAATGAGGGTTGGCACCTTTCCTACCATGTATAGTTTTAGAGAGTTTCCTAGGGCATTGAGAGGTCAAGTGATTTGCCCAGAGTAACATATACAATATGTTTTTAAGGTGGATTTATTCCCAGGTCATTCTGGCAAGACCAGCTCTCTATACAGTTGAAAATGGGAAAAGATTTCTAACACAAATTATCTCTTCTTTAAACTGTTTAAATTTGTGGCTATATTTCATGAGGAAAAAAGGATATAGCATTTTATATAACTCCAAGAAAAGGTTTTTCCATTGGTTCTATATGGTCCAGTAATATCTATGACAACTGAATTTTACAATTTTCCCACATGAAACTAAAGATACAGGAGGACTTTATCCCAAAAAGTATAAAGCTAGGACTTTCACAAAGGATTAGAGATTATTTTTATACTTTTTATTATCACTCTGCCTATGGGTAAGAGGGTGTCCTAGGAGGAATATTAGTTTGAGACATATGGAAATAATCTTTTTATATTTTTATTGATTTAGAGGTAGTACCTCAATCCATTCAAGACATCCCTATGTATTACATAAATATTACTGATGCTTACTCTATCACTGCTAAGTTCAAAACAGCTAAACTACAAAATTCTGTCATAAGATTCCAACACACTAACGACTAAGAATCATTCTATTCTTTGCAGCTTTTATTCCATCCATCTTGCATATGTCTGTATGCTAAAGAATTGCCCAATAATTTTTTCAAAATTCTTTTTAACTTCAATGCATGTTGTAGTACTAATTTCTTTTCTTTTTTTTCTTTTTGGCTAGGCAATGGGGTTAAGTGACTTGTCCAGGGTCACACAGCTAGTAAGTGTCAAGTGTCTGAGGCTAGATTTGAACTCAGATCCTCCTGACCCCAGGGTCAATGCTCTATCCACTGCATCATCAAGCTGCCCCTGTAGTACTAATCTCGATTGAAGTTCTACTCTGTAACTAGAATTAGCAAGTTCTCTGGGTTTTTTCTGAAGCAAGAAAAGTATCAATTACAAGTTTCTCCATGCAAGATAAAAATATGCATGAGAAAGAGACTAGAATTATTTGACTTGAGTCATCCTTTTCTTTTATGTACCTATCTCCAACTGAGCCAAAAGTAAATTAATTATTTGTCCCTCTTTTACTTACTTTATATCCTGTCACTGTAGATTCATTTGACATTGCTCTGACATGATCCCAGGTGATAATGTACCTTGAACCAGATCTTACTGAACTAATAATCCTTGGAGGCTGACTTGGGGCTAGGGGGAAAAAATAGCGACATGAAATTAGTAGTTATCTCAGCCAAGATCATTGTATTGTACTATCCAATCTTCACTGTATAATTCCAAGCATGAACATTCAGTAGAGAAGATGGTTTTGACAGAAAGATAAAATGGTGATGAAAGGTACTCCAAATAGCCCTAGAGGCTAGGTTAAAGAGATAAATTAATCTTTTTCTCATTCATCTTACTAAGAAGCTCCCTGCTTCTCTGAAACAATCTGTTTCATCACTTATTACCTTACTATATGCTTATAGCCTTCTTTATCTGGGTCATCTTACCTTGTCAAGCAGCACTGATTATTAAAAACAGCATTTTTAGATGAGGAGATTGAGGCTGAAACAGTATATGTGCTTGCTTTAGAGTCACACAGCTAGTATATGTCTGAGGTAGGATTCAAACTCCTGACATTATTCTAATATGAAAATCTTAGACCTTACTAACAATTCAAAAGGTGGTCAAGAGAATATAAGTAAACCCTGTGTTTACTCTCTCATCTATACAAAATCTTCATATCTATCTAAATTAAAAGCATCCTGAATGAGGGAATTAATAGGGAAGAAGTAGTCTTTCTTAAATGATATATTCAAGAATGAACCACTTGTTTACTACAACCCAAGTAACTGAAAGATGCCAACACTGTAAGATTCTATTGTGCCAAAATGGGTGTGCACATAACCAATAGGTGTAAAGGATGTCATCAAATGTGTGACAGGCATAGATGATAGGCTGGTCACATAGGAAGAGCAAGGTATAACTACAGACCTTGGACTCTTTATAGGCCTCAGTTTCCTCATCTGCAAAATGAGGGGGTAGACAAGATGGCCATTAAAGTCTCTTTTGGCTCTAAATCACCTAGGCTCATATAATAATTTTCTTTTTTTATTATTAATTTGACAAATGCCTATTAAAATGAGCATTTTTATAATACATGGATGAAAAGAAGGATATGAAAGTGTGAATTTTGTAAAAATTGCTTTTCAAGTACATAACAAATTCAACATGTGATTTTCAAAGCTTGTATGGCCTTCCTTTTCTTCTCTTTTTCCTCAAACACTGAATGATCATTGCCTCAGTCAAATTGAGACCTGTTAAAGACCTTAGCTTGAAAAGGCCAAGGTCCCCCACTACAACTTGGGCCATTTCCAGTTGAACTGATCTACATCTGGCCACTGAACCCAAATGGCTCTGGAGGAGAAAGTAAGGCTGGTGACTTTGCACAGCCCTCTCTCATTTAAATCCAGTTCACTTGCATGTCATGGCATCACTTCCCTGATGTCATGGTTCTCTTTGAGGACAAAGGACAAACATCTTTGTTTGAACCCTACCTCTAATTCCCCTTTTTACCTTCCCCCATCCTAACTGAAAAAAAAAAAAACACACATATCAAAACACTTTTTAAAAACAAATCTAGTCAAGTAAAACAAATTCCCACATTGGCCATATCCAAAAATGAATATTTGATTATACGTCCTGAGAATATCACCTTTCTGTGAGGTGAGTAGCACTCTTTATTAGTATTATGAAATTATGGTTGGCCATTGCATTGATCAGAGTTCTTTAGTTTTTTTAAGTTGTTTTTCTTTACATTATTATTATTATATCAATTATTTTCTTGTTCCTATTCATTTGACTTTTCATTAGTTCATATAAGACTTCAGAGGTTTGTCCGAATCTGTCTCATAATTTCTTATAGTAAAATAATATTCAGTTATATTCATATACCATAAATTTGTCAAGCTATTACTCAATTAAATGGCACCCTCTTAGCTTCTAGAGCTTTGCCATTAAAACTACAAGAGAGGCAGAGACAGAGAGGTATAGCACAAGTGGTTAGATTTACTGTCTCTGAGACTGTAGTTTCAAGTTGCTTTCCAGAATGGCTGTAACAATTCACAGCTCCATCAACAGCGTCTTAATATGCCTGTTTTCCCCTAGTCCCTACATTTGTCCCTTTCTTTTTTTGTCGGATTTGTTAATCTGATGGATAGAACTCCAGAGTTGCTTTAATTTGCATCTCTCTATTAATGATCTTGAACATTTTTTCATATGGCTATTGATATTTTGTATTTCTGTCAATTCATTTTATAATGTACAACTCTACTGAAGTTATGAATTGTTTCTGTTAATTTTTTATGTGACTCTCAAAGATTTTCTAAGAATATCATCATATAATCTGCAAAAGCAATAATTTTGTTTCTTCTTTGCCTACACTTATCACTTCAGTTCATTTTTCTTGCATTTTTAAAAGTTATACCAAATATTAATGGTAACAATGGACATTCTTGCTTTATTCTTAGTCTTATTGTAAAGGGCTCTAGTTTATATCCATAACATATAACACTGGTTCTTGGCTTTACATAGAAACTATTTAACACTGTCACTTATTCCTATGACTTCTAGTGTTTTTGTAGGGCTTTTTGTTTTTTGTTTTCCTAAAGATTTATTTTTTTTGCATTTTTGATATAGTCATGATTTTTCCTATTCTTGTTATTAATGTGATCATAAATACATTTATGTTTTTTCCTATTATTTAACCAACCCTGAAATTCTGATATAAATCCCACCTAATCTTTTAGATGAGTTGCTGTGGCCTCTTTGCTAGTACTTTGTTTAAAATTTTTGTATCATTATTCATTCAGGATATTAGTCTATAGTTCACTTTCTATTTTTTCTGTGCCTAGACAATATTTGTGTCAAAGTATGACTATAATCCATTCTGTTCCTATTTCTAAAAAAAAGTTTGTGTAATATTACAAATAATTTTCCTTTAAATAGTTAATGCAATTCACTTCTAAATTCATTTAGTCCTTTTTTTCCCCTTTATAGTTCATTTTCTTCTGAGATTGGGTTATTTGAATTTTCTCTTTTATTGTTAATTTAGGCAGTTTATATTTTTATAAGTATTCATCCATTACATTTAAGTTGTCATTTTTGGGTACATACTTTAAAAATAATGGTTTCTAATAATTGCCTTTATTTCTTTTTTGTTTATATGATTCTCCTTTTTTCATTTTTTATGATGGCAGTTTGGTTTTCTTCTTTCTTTTAAAAGTCAAATTAGTTGAATGTTTATTTTTAAAAGGTTTGTGGTTCTATTACTTCAATTTTTTACTACTGATTTTCTCAAACTTTCCTTTGATTTTTAAAATTTCTATGTTGATATGTCTTTCAATTTTTTTGTTTTTTGTTTTTCTTTTTTTAGTTGTCTGCCCAATTAATTGATCTTGTTGATGTGAATCCCCTAAAGATTGCTTTGGTTGGTATTCTGCAAATGTCATATTGTCTCACTGCTATAATTATCTATAATGAAATTATCTATTATTTCTATGATTTCTCATTTGATCCTTCAGCTCCTTAGGATTAAGTCAAGTCAGGTCAATAAGTACTTATTAAGTGCCTATTATGTGGTGGACACTTTAGTCTCCAACTCATTTTAATCCTTTCTTCAATAGCCTTTTATTCAGATTATTTCATCACATTTTGCTCAGTAATGGATGAGTTTAATATTTCTGCTTTTATCCATTTATTGAAGAGGTTTTATCCCCTAATAGGAACTACTGGGGACCTTCTCACCCTGGAACATCCTTCAGTAAGGACTGTCTCTTTCTTCCATTGGTTCTCCTGGAAGCTCCATTTTGGAGAGGGGCCCAGGCTGTTCTTCATTTCTCCTCTCAGTTCTATTCCTGGGCTCCTGGACTTTTCTGTTGGATACTTTCTTTGTCTATGGTGCTCTTTAGCATAATGTAGTTTCCCTGTCTATCTCTTTTAAGTAATTTGCCTTTGATATTGCTTTGTCTGACATCATGAAATACAATTTTCCTTCAGCCCCTTATTTTAACTATCTGAGTCTTTATGTTGCAAGGATGTTTCTTGAAGACAGTATAGTATTGGATTCTACATTCTAGTCCATTCTGCCATCCTCTGCTGTTTCATGGGCAAGTTCATCCCACTCATTATGATAATTATTTACTTCCCTCCATTCTATTCTCTAATATATTTTCCTCACTTTGCCCTTTCTTTATAAAAGAGGTGATAATGAGAAGGGAATATACTCAGCATTAGTGATCTATGTTTAAGTCAATATGTTTCAGCTTCCCTACCCCTATTCTCTTCCTCTCATCCAGACACCAATAATGAGTATTTATTCTTTCATTCTTTCCCTTTAAATATCCCTTCACAAGTCATTTTCTAAGGATGGATTTTATTTTGTTGATGACTAATCCCTCCCAGAACCTATTGACAATCTATAAGAGGGAACTCTTTTTCTCCCTTCTCCTCTCACAGAGATCCCTGCTGTTTCTTTGTTGAGTTGAAGGTATTTCTATGTCAACTCTGTGTTACTGTTGTCTATATTTTACCTTTCTTTGACTAATTTAGATAAAAGCGAAGATCAAGTGACACCCATTCCCTTAACCAATTCTGCCTTGATTTTATACTTCTTCTACTTTACCACCCAGATTTATGAAATAGAAGTTCAACTTCCTTCCTTTCCTTTTATTTTCTAAGTGTATTCCTTTTGCTCTCTCTTTCTTGTCTTTTAAGATCATCAAAACCACTTCCAGGCCCTTTGTCTCCCTCTATGACCATGGATGAAATTCTGATTTTAAAATGAATTGAACATTAGAGTTCTAAGTTGACACCTATATCATCTCTATTATTAGAGAGACACAAATACTTTATTCTTATGTAGTCTCTTCTGATTGATCACTTGTATTTAACTATTTTGTGTTTCTCTTATCACCTGTAATTGCATTTCAACATTTTTACTCAGTCTTTATCACAAATGCTTTAAAGTGTTTCATTTCATTAAAGGTCCATTTCCACCTATCAGATTATAATTAGTTTTACTGAAAATGCTATTATATATAATATATATATATATAAAACTAAGTTATAAGTTATTATAAGTTGTTATAAGTTATTCTTTTACCTTTTTGGATGTCAAATTCCAAGATCTCTTCTCCTTTATAGCGGTAGCTGTACATTTTGTGTGTGATCCTCACTGTGACTCCTTGATACCTGAACTCTTTCTTGCTGTCCATTTTTTCTCCTTTTTTCTCAGTTCAGTTGTTCTTTTTAAATTTGAGATAATATTTTCTATTTTTTCAGTCTTTTGAGTTCATTTTAATATTTAATATTATCTCATGGATTTATTAACTTCTACTTAGTTTTTTGAATATTCATGGATAGTGTTTTGTTACTCTTATACTAACTTCTATTTGGACTTGTAAATCCTTCCAAGTCTCTTCTAGAACTCTTATTTCCTTCCCAGTAGAAATCTCATTTCATTTATAATATGATTTTTAACTAATTTTATTTCTTTCAAGAATTCTACTTGACCTTCTGACCAACCTGTCTTTTTATTTAAGTCTTTGCTTATAGATATTGTGCAATTAGTCTCTTCTGACTTTGTTTCTTGAGAATCCCTTTTTTCCTGATAGTTCATATTCCTCATTCATTCTTTCAGCTTTACTTCCTGAAATTTGTGTGCTTGGGCTAGGATCTGCACACTTATGGAAGGAATATTAGGGTCTTACTTGTGTGAGTCTATATTCTCTGGGGTCCTGCCACTGCTTTCTCTTATTATTGAATACTGTGTTCTTCCAGGATTTCAGGTGTCCCAGAAAATGGTAACTCTCTGCATATAGGGTAAAATCTGATCACTGTCCTCCTGGTCTGAACTTTGCAAATCCTGGACCCCAATTTGGGTCTGGTTGACACAACAATAGGCTTGCCCATGATTGGGGCTCCAGGAGACTGCTGCTGGCCCCAGCTTTTGGAAGGTTCTCCACTTCAGAGACACAGGGTAATGTTGTATCTGGCATCCAGTTAGAGGATAGAAGCAACACAACTATTGAATGGCTCTCTTCTTGTTCCCTGCAAGGTTCATAGCATCAGACACTTACTGCACTACAAGTTGCTCATTGCTACAGGCTCTAGCCTCAGTCTTGTTCCAGGGCAGAGCAACATGACTGCTCCCTCCTGTTCTGGCTCTTTGTTTGGTATGCAACATCAGATGAATCTCTGCATTGGTTTTCCTGGCTAGACTGGCTGTTTCTCTGTGTTGACCTGCGTTGAACAAATAACTCACGGTGGTCTATCCTCAGATTTCCCAATCACTACTCAGTTTGGTGCTCTCATTCGATCATTGTTTAAGTAATTGTCGGGAAGAGTTGGGTTGTATTGTTTCCTCCTGTTTTACCATATGTGCTTGCCTCCATGTATGCAAGCCTCCATTTCTATGAAAATATTGTTTCCAAACACGCAATAAATATAGTTGCTTAAACCTTGTGAAAGTTTTTCAAAGACAAATTTTTATGAAGTTGGTTTATTGCTCATGTTATTTCTATAATGGAACATAAGAATTGATAAAAGAGGTTTTTTTCTTTTTTATCTTTCTTAGTTAAATAAAATATGCCAGGCAATTGAAAGGCAATGCTGTGGGGAAACAGCCAGATGAATTTCTTCCCAAGATGCATTCTAGATTGTGATGAAATGAACTTTTGTATTCAGGTATTCTAAAATTACAACACCTCTACTTACGTGCTTTCCTTGTATAGACATCAACCACTTCGCTGGGAGGTCCGTATCCTGCGCTGTTATAGGCCCTAACCTCCACAGAATACTGCATATCAGGTAGCAAGTTTTCCAGTTTGGCAGAATAATCTTGACTGCTGACTTGAACTCTCTGTGCAGCTGCTTCCTTATCCTGTGCAGCCCAGTAACGAATCTGTAAGAGTTCATTTTAGAGTTCAATTAGCATTTTGTTAAAATTCATATTTTAAATGTTTAAAACAATTTGAAACATCTTTTTTATATTTTATAAAGCATTGTAACCCCTAGAGTTGGTTGAAAAAGTTGGCTTTAAATGTTATTAGGTCTGTTAGCAATAATCTGTTTTTAACATATAATGTGAACACTACCTTACATTCACATAAATGTCGGGAGACATTTATTAATCCTTTGTATGTAAACAAGCATCATATCCTGCAAAATACAAAGAAAGATACAAAGCAATCCATGCTCTTGATGAGGTTATAGTATGATGGGGGTAAAGATATGTATACAGATTACTGTACTCCCTACCCAGCTACCATGTGAACATGCATCTCTGTTTCCATCTTTGTTGTTAAATTACTGTACAAATTATTTGCAATCTCTCTCTATTTACAGTCTTGTTCTTCTCCCATCCATTCACCTCACATTTACTGAGTTCCTAAAACCTAAATGTGACCATGCCATCCCCTTACTCAGAAACCTTTAATGGTTCTATTTTGCCTCTAAGGTGATCTTTAAAAAAATTGTCTATCTGACATTTAAAATCTTCCAAAATATGGCTCCCGCCTACCTTTGCAGTCTTATTTCATATTATTATCCATCAAGCACTCTCTATTCCGGTCAGACAGGTCTCCTACCTCTGTAAAATATTCACGGGACCCTGCACAAAATATTACATCTCCCAGATACTACCTTTCCCCAGATAGTCCTTCGTATCTAGAGTGCAGTATCTAGTGGAATTTCAAACTTTCTTGAAAAGCACAAAAGTTAGGTGACAGCTTCTACGTGAAGTATCTTCAGTTTTTAATGCTCTCTGGCTCTGGAAATTACTTTGTACTGATTTCTTTGTACTTTGTATTGGGGAAACTGGACAATGAGAACCTTAGAGGATGTGCTGTGTGTTCTGCATGGTATCAAACCATGTAGAAACTGAGTAAGTTTCCTTCCAGACATGAATATGAAGAGGCCTTTTCCCCTATTCAGAAATGGATTACTATGAAGTGATAAAAAAAAAATCTCTTAACTGGCTTCTGAGCAAAAACAGATTGTTAATGGAAAAGTCTGAAAAAAAAAACATTCTTTTTTCCATCATGGCTTTTGAATAAGGAGAAAAAATTCTGTGGGATCCTAGATATGAGAGGGACTTCAGGTTCTCTTTCTTACACAGTTGCTATGTGGCTATGAATGCATGCTGCAGTTGGGTTTTTTGCCTCTGCTGTGTTTATGTTTTTCTAATCTTTGGTGAATGATTATCAAAGACAGAATGGATCAAGTGAACTTAAAAGAATCTTGTGAACTTAGAAGGTCAGAAGAGCTACCAAAGGTCTGTTCCGTGTGCAGTGTTTATTCATTTCAGATTAGGAAAGAATTTCTCTTCTCTAGTAATAAATGAATGAGGAACTTCTATAAGCCTCCAGGTGAGGGGAAAGGCACCAATGGCAGAAACATCAATAGCCTACCACCAATTGTCTATTTTCCTTACCCGGCTGCCATGTGAGCATGTATTTCTGTTTCTGTCTTTGTGGTCAATATTATTTCCTGGTCCTGGGTGAATGAATATTAGAGACAGAACAGACCAGGTTATGACCTTGTGAGCTTCAAAAAGTTGGACAAATCAATAGAAGTCCAGCAACTATAATTTATAGTAGAACTTGCCTTTAGTTTAGCATCTAAATTCAGTAAGGATCTAGTGCTAACAAGTGACCTGCTTGGCCCAGTCCAACAAGAACTGATTAGTGAGACACCATATCCTACAAATAAGAAAGGGTCATTGACTATGACCTCTTATAAGTGAACTTTAACTTAGAAACCGCTGTTACCAGGAACCAAGTGGCTGGGTATAGGGGAGAGTGTGCTCCAGTTTGGAGAAGGATGTTCTTCTGCTTCAATCCTTGCTGTCCCTTCTCTGTAAATAAGCCTTCATAAATAAATAAGCTAATTAATTAGTTATTTGATACTGATGAGATATCAACTGGTTAGATGATATTAAGTAAAGAGAAAAAACACTGGATGGGGGGTTGTGAGTCACAGTATTAGAAAGATGCTCCCAACATACCAAGATTATCCTTGGAGACCTAATGGAGCACCTCATTCTGTAGTCTGATGGAGAAGTAACAAGGCTTGAAAATCAAAAGTGATTTATTACTTCATCCTCTCATTTTGTTTCTTCTTAATATGTCTTAAATAATATACTTAATGACATATCCTCTGAAACTGCATTGAAGCTAGAAATCAAATGATTGTCACACATGGGACAGTTAGGTTGATAATTGATAGAATATTGGTCTTAGAGTCAGCCAAGGAATTTGAATCCTGTTTTACACTTATTCTATGTGACTTTGGAGAAGTCACTTAGTTACCTTCAGCATCAGTTTGCTCATCCATAAAATGGGCAAAGTAACAGCAACTATCTTTTATGATTGCTGTAAGAAATCAACCGAAATAAAATATGTAAAGTGCCTTGCGAGCCTAAAAGCAGAAAAAGAAAACCTAACTATTGCTGTGATTATGTTAGTAATAAAAATAATAATAAATAATTAATTATTTGTCTAAATGGGAAGGATATTTAAAACTATGTTGTGGTCTATTAAGAACTAAAGTCCCTTGAATTTTAAAATAGAGATTAAAATAGTATGTTGTATAGAATATTTAATAATATTCTTTTAAATATTTATATCATTATTATTACTTTAATTAATTTTAACTAGTTAATTTATTTTAATATTTAATAATATTCTTTTTGTTCCATTTTTCCTAAAATATTTTCAAATTAATATGAAGGCTATGAGCTACATTTTTTACTCTTCTTTGAAAAAGTAAGCCCATAATTTGCAAGTGAAGTGTGAATGAAATAGGAAGTAATTATTATTTAAAGTAAATAATATTCACTATAAACATACAGGTACTTTTACACTTTTGAAGATGCCAGATGAAGCAGAGACAGTGTAACATGACTTCATCAAAAAGCTAAAATGTTCATGTGTTTTAAAATTTCTTCTCTTTTGGAAGGTGTTTGGTGTAAGAAGAGGAATTCTCTATAGATAGTCCAGCTATTCCTTTTTTTTTATTTAACATTATATTGATTGCATCAACCCCCAGGATATTTACAAATAAGACCCATAATCAAAAGATTTCTATTTAATTATCCACCCAGGAGGAAAAAAATAAGGTAATGAAATATGCCTGTTGTTCAGAGTGTGTCATACAATTTTATAGACATTCTATACATATCCATCAAATAATAACTCTTGGACAAACATTGAATGTGAACAATTATCTTTGTTACAATTGTTTGGGAAACAGAGAATAATGTGGTTTGACTTGGGAGAATTGTGTAGTTCTCTAAGTGTCTCTCTTCTCCTTTTAAAAAAAATGGTCCCTCTTTTAACAGCAATCCTCTTCTGGCAACGTTACATGGCTATGAATTATGGAACACCATAGTGTTCTAGTGTTAGAGAAGTTAAAGCTGAATTTCATCAAAAGGAACATGGAGGGCAAATGATCAGTATAAAGAGGCTACAACACGTAATAAGTAAAGAATTATGCAGGAGAAATAGCATAAAGGATTTCATCAGAAAAACAAATGACAGAAAAAAAGTGGACTGGTCATATAGTGACAGCAAGGGACATTATATATGTTGGAGGGACTAAAAGGACCTCCTTTCTCCCATGAAAAATTTATAGGAGGCAAGGACACACATGATGAAAATGTGTGGCTTGATCATGAGCTGTACCACTGGAGAGTATCTACATTAATGCAATCATAATATCATTGACATATTGAAGTCAGAAACAAACATGTTAGGAAGATTTGATGGAAAGATTTTTTTCTTTGGTGGAAAGGTTTTCTTTTGCCATGGTAAGTCTGAAATACCAATGAAAGATGCAGGTAGAAATGTTCAATAGGTGATTGATGAAATGAAACTGGAACTCAGTAGAGAAATTAAGGCTGTGTGTATAGTTCTGGGAATCATCAAAATAAAGGATAAATGAACATACGAGAGTGGATGGGACCACAGAGAAGGTATAAGAGAAAAGAAAAGAAGACAGATAGGAACAGAACCCTGGGACATGCTAACAGTTAGGTGTTGGGAAAAGATTCTCGAGAAGTAATGGCAGGCAAATAGGAGAACAAAGAACAGTGCCAAGAAAAAGCAGAAATGAGAGTGTGTATGTGTTCAACAGTGTTAAAATACTTCTGAGAGGTCAAAAAGGATGAAGAGTGAGAAAGTGTCATTGGATTTCATGGTTAATCAATGTCTGTTTCAGTTTGTGTTGAAATTAGAAGCCAGAGTACAAGGACTGAAAAGTGAGTGAAGTAGTGTCTATAAGCAAAAATAACTTTTTCTAGGAGTCTGGCTATGAAAGGGAGGAGGGATAATGTTGTAGGCATACTTTTTAGATGGACATATGTGTGTATGAACATGAATATATATGTATACATATACATATATACATATATAGTATGCCAGTAACATATATTTACCCACATTATATATCTACTTATTTTAATATTATTATAAACATACATACATGTTTGTTTCTGTGTATGTATATTTTATCTTCTAATTGATTGAAATTAATTGAAATTATATTCTGCCCTAGTTTTAGAATCCTGGGGCATGAAAGCTGGAAGTTGATCTAAGAGATCAATTCTATCTTTTTATAGATAATCACTTTTAGTGAATACATGTAACATTTATGGAATAGGAAGCATTTTCAAAACTTTGGCCATTTTAGAGAAGAAGAAATTGACCTCTAGAGAGATTAAATATTATCTTACCTTGTTCCTTGGAAAGAGACAAAAAAAAAGAGGAAAACAATCTAGGGGTTAAAATTTTGAAAATACTTCGTATCCCACAAATGCTAGACATATTCACCAAAAGTTTTTAATTTTTCACTCCATTTTAATTTTTTGAGTCCCCACAGCCATCTTTGCCAACTTATTCTAGTATTAGTATTCAAATCATGCTCTAAGAATCTGCCAGTGGAATAATATCAACCTTGTCTTCAACTTTAATTTTCTTTCTCTGTTACAGAAACTTCTAGAGCATCTTTGCAACAGACTTTGAGATCATAAACTGTAAGGTTTTTTTTTGTTTTGTTTTGTTTTGTTCTTTAGAGCTGGGATTGTTTTTCATTTGTATTACCTATTCCAGACACAGTGCTGAGCATAAAGCCTTATTATCAGTACTTAATAAATGCTGAATGGAAATGTAAGCCAGGGTAGCAGAGCTGGATCCTCACTTGTTTTCCCACTAGAGTCACACTTTGTAGATTTGTGGATTTCATTTTTCAGTAGTGTCTTCATGACCTCCATCTGGAGTTTTCTTGACTTAAGAAACTGGAGTGGTTTGCCATTTCCATCTCCAGCTCATTTTACAGATAAGGAAGCTGAAGCAAACAGGGTTAAGTAACTTGCCCAGGGTCACATAGATTTCTGAGACCTGATTTGAACTCAGGAAGATACATCTTCTTGATTCCAGGACTGGCATTCTATCCATTGCACCACCTAGCTGCAACAATTCTTTGTGGATATATCCTTATCATTTTTCCATAGACTTCTTCAAAGTAAACCATCAAACACATTCTTTCAGATTTATGTTCTACAGTAAAACAAAAACTAATTTACCATGTGCATAAAGTAATTTTGTGGACACTGATTATATATATAAGAAAGCAATAAAAATACATATATTAGAACAAGTGTTCTTAACTTTTTTGTTACATGTAACCGTTTTTGGGCAGTCTGATGTAGCGTTTGGGCTCCACAGAATAATGTTTTTTAATGCATATTATATAGTAGATGTGATGGCAAAGGTAACGGATTATATTTAAATAGTTATCAAAATATTTTTGAAAAAATAAGTTCATGGACCTCATGTTAATAATTTGTTTATATTATAAAGCGGGTCTTATTCAGGTCTCTTGTTTTTGATACCTCTTTCCAGTTATCTATCAAGTCTATTTTTTCATTTAGCTCATTCTGCCTACTTCATTGAAAGGATCGTATTATCTTTCTAGATGCAATCTCTAATTCATATTCACCTTCCAGTTTTGCTAGCAGAGTCCTTGACATATGACATATCCCCCAACTGAATTTGTCTTCTAAAGTTGATTTGGAGGCTACATTACCCCAGGTGCCAGATTTCCTATGGCTCTGACTGAAAAACAGAATGTTTTTCCCTTTCCTACAGTTACCTGTCACTTACTCATTAGCAATTAACCATTAATAATAAGAAAATGCCAATTAACATAGGAAAGTAAAGAACCTTCACACAGAGTACACATAGTATACATCTATTTACCACACATACACATAAATCTATACTGTTACCTAAATTCAACTGTTTGGATAAGTCAAAGGAAATAGAATAATGCAATATTTTAACAATTATAGCAAAATTTATTTTAGAAGAATGTGTTTGCTACAATAAAATTTGAACTCACCTGATAGCCCTCCACAGTTTTTTCAAAAACGTGTTTCCAAGAAACGGAGATTTCAGAAGAAGATAGGACTTTTATGCTCACATCTGTAGGAGCTTCATTGGGTGCTAAAGAATTGATAAAAAGTTTCTTAATTTTCAGTGCTACATTTATTTACTACAAAATTTAATATGACTATTTATATTTTAATATATCTTTGCTTTTATTTTATTTTTATTTTTGTCTCTTTTTAACATTACTTTAAATTTTTTTTGAGTTCCAAATTGTTCCCCCTTCCCTCTTTCCTCTCCTCCACCCATTGAGAAGGCAAGCAATATGATATCAATGTAAAGTCACACAAAATGTTTCCATATTAGTTACATTACAAAAAAAAATAAAAGGAAGGAAGGAAAAGAAAAAAAGAAAGAGCAAGAAACATAAAGAAAGTGAAAAAATCAATCTGCACTTAGTTTATAAGTTCTCTCTTTGAAGGTGGATAGGATTTTTCATCATGGGTTCTTTAAGAATTGCCTTGGATCATTGTATTGATCAGCGTACCTAAGTTTTTCACAGGTGATCACTGTTACAATACTGCTGTGTACAATGTTCTACTGGTTCTGCTCATTTTACTTTATGTTAGTTTTTCTAAAACCATTCCCTTCATAATTTCTTATAACACAACACTATTCCATCACAATCACAAACCACAACTTGTCCAACCATTCCCCAATTGATGGGCATCTCCTCAATTTCTAATTCTTCGTCACCACAAAAAGAGCTGCTACAAATAATTTGGTCTTTCTTCCTTTTTTTAAATTGCTTTGAAGAAGTGGTATTGCCAGGTCAAAGAGTATACACAATTTTATAGCCCTTTGGGCAAAGTTCCAAATTGTTCTCCAGAATGGTTAGACTGATGCATAATTCCACCAAAAGTATATTTTTTGTTGTTTAGTCATTTTGTTGCTTCAGTAATGTCCAATTCATCGTGATGTCATTTGAGGTTTTCTTGGTAAAGATACTGGAGTGGTTTGCCATTTCCTTCTTCAGTTCATTTTATAGATAAGGAAACTGAGGCAAACAGGGTTAAGTGACTTGTCCAAGGTCACATAGTTAGTAAGTGTCTGAGACCAGATTTAAACTCAGGGAGATGAGTCTTCCTGACTCCAGGCCTATCTACCATGCCACCTAGCTGCCCTAACAGTGCTTCAGTGTACCTGTTTTTGCCAGATCTCCTCTAAGCAGTCATTATTTTCCTCTTCTGTCATGTTAGCCACTCTGCAAGATGTGAGGTGACAACTCAGAGTTGTTTTAATTTTCATTTCTCTAATCAATAGTGATGTAGAGTATTTTTCATGTGACTACTGATAACTTTGATTTCTTCTAAAACTATCTGTTCATGTGTATTGACCATTTATCAATTGGGGAATGGTTCTTATTTTTATAAATTTGACTCAGTTCTCTATATATATGAGAAATGAGGTCTTTATCAAAGAAATATGCTATAAATTTTCCCTTCGGTTTCCTGTTTTCCTTCTAATATTGATTGCATTGGTTTTGTTTGTGCAATTTTTTTTAAAATTTCATGTAATCAAAATGATCCATTTTGTTTCATGTTTGGTCATAAACTCTTCCCTTATCCACATATCTGACAGATACATTTTCCATACTCCATTAATTTACTGATATCTCCCATCGTGTACCCATTTTGACCTTATTTTGGAATATTGGTGTGAGAGGTTGGTCTATGCCTAGTTTCTGCCAAACTGCTTTCCAGTTTTCCCAGCAATTTTTGTCAAATAGTGAGTTCTTGTCCCAAAAGCATGGATCTTTGCATGGATCTAGATTACTAGATTATCCAATTTTGCGTTTATTTAGATTATTGTTGTACTATCTAGATTACTAGATTACTCTGGTCATTTACTACTGTGCACTGTGTACCTAATCTATTCCACTGATTCTCCACTCTATTTCCAAGCCAGTAACAGATTATTTTGATGATTATTGCTTTATAGTATAGTACTGATAGGCTGGGGGTAGGTAGGTAGCATGGTGGTTGGAATCCTGAATTTGAATCCTGCCTCAGACACTTACTAGCTGTGTGACCTGAGGTAAATCACTGTTTGCCTCTGTTTCGTCATCTATAAAATGAACTGGAGAAGGAAATGGCAAACCACTCCAATATCTTTGCCAAGAAAACCTCAAATGGGGTCACAAAGAGTCAAACACAACTGAAACAACTGCACAACAACAACTACTAAGCTAACTTCCTTCAATTTTTTTCATTCATTCCTTTGATATTCTCAACCTTTTGTTTTTCTAGATGAATTTTGTTCTTTTTTTCCTAAATGCTGTAAAACAATTCTTCCTTAGTTTAATTGTTATGATGCTGAATAAGTAAGTTAATTTAGGTAGAATGGTCATTTTTATGGTATTGACTTGAAAAAGGAAGTTGTTGGTTATATATGGGAAGAAAGTGAACAAAATGTCATGGAGAAGCGACAAATTGCACTAGTAGAGGGAATGTACTCTTAGTTCCATTAAAATTAACAATACTAGTTATTCAAGTTTCTCAAGACAGTTTCTCAAGAAAATTAGATAATGGTATCACAGAGGTCAATAGGAACATGGATGTAACAGGCAGGAATGTTATTCCAATATTCATTTTGTAGATGAGGAAATTGAGCCCCAGAGAAGTGAAATGATTTGATATACAGGTGTAAGTATCAGATCCAGCATTTGAACCCAGATTCTCTGACTCCAAATCAAATATTCTTCAATGTTATCTCATAGAGGAAAAGAATTAGAATGAATTTAACTCCAAATTTTATAATTCACTAAATTATTACACTTCTCACTAGCAATTAGGAACTAGCACACAAATCTGTCTACAGAACTTATCTACTAAGATTAGAAATAAAGCAAAATTAACTTGGAATGTCTTTTTTACTTACCATCTTGCGCAGAATAAATGACTGCTGTAAGACTGAATGGTCCATCTCCTTTGTTGTTAAAGGCTTTCACTTTTACTTGAAATTCAGTGGAAGGGGACATTGTTTCATCTTTATGAACATACCGGCCAATATCTGGATTAGTAACTGTTACTTTTTTCCACTCTTTTCCACCAAATGGCTTGAAAGCCACTATGTAACCAAAATTGTTGCCATAGTGGTATTCTCGTGACAAAGGCTAAATGGGCAGAAAAGATTAAATCCATTTCAGCTGCTATCCAAATGAATTTACCAGAAAATTTAAAGTCATTAAAGTATTAATGAATTGTACTTTTTAAAAAAAATAGTTATTGCTATATTGTTATTCAGTTGTTTTTCAGTTGTGTCCAAGTTTTCATGACCCCATTTGGGGTTTTCTTGGCAGACATTGGAGTGATTTGCCTTTTCCTTCTCCAGCTCATTTTATAGATCAGGACTCAGGTAAACAGGGTTAAGTGATTTGCCCAGGGTCACAAAACTAACAAGTGTCTGAGGCCAGATTTAAACTCAGGAAGATGAGTCTTCCTGACTCCAGGCCTAACAACTCTATCTACTCTTCCACCTAGTTCCCCAGATATTGCTATGTTGTTGTTCGTCCTTCGTTCTCAACGTGAACCATGACATCACGGAGGTTATGTTATGACATGCAAGTGAATTGGATTTAAGTGATGGAGGGCTGTGCAAAATCACTAGCCTCACTTTCTCCTCCAGAGCCATCCAGGTCCAGTGGTGACATATAGATCAGGACTACTGGACATTGGCCTTGGATGTAGTGGGAGACCTAGGCCTTTTTAAGTCAAAACTGACTGAGGCAATATCCATTCAGTGATCAAGGCTAGGTAAGAAATGAGGTAGAGAATGGCCTCTTTATCTAGACACAAAAGAAAAATCAATCTGGGAGGGGGTGACCCTCAGGGTTTCTGGCCAAAACAGAAACAACTGTAATTTACATTCACTCTGAGCCAATCAGGGCTCAAACAATGACCTAGTATGGTTTGGCCTGGGACCTATTGTTGGCTAATCAATGAGAGCCAGTGATTTGGGTTTAAGGCCTGGTACTTAAGAGGAAAAAAAAGGTTTTAGTGGTCAAAATTCAGGAAGGAAGGAAGGAAGGAAGGAAGGAAGGAAGGAAGGAAGGAAGGAAGGAGGGAGGGAGGGAGGGAGGGAGGGAGGGAGGGAGGGAGGAAGGAAGGAAGATATTGCTATGCCTACTCCACAAATTGTCAGAAACAAAAAGACCAAGGAAGTAGGCAGTCATTCAATTAAGAGGGAACTACCTACTTTGCTCTAATGGTTAGGAATCCCCCTCCCCCCTTTAATTTAGAGTTGAGGAGAGGAGAAATGAGTTAATCAGCACAATTGATTCCCACCCCTACTCTCAGTCCAGTTGATGAAATGTCTATGTAAGGGGCGAGTATTAAACATATAACAATGTTTTAACATCTTAAATAGAAAGGTCTTATACTCTGTTACTCCTTTCCAAGGTGTGAAGAAATCTTCTAATCAAAACTGATGCTATTAGAAGGAAACTAGCTACTGAATAACAAAGGATCAGCCATGCCATTGGTGGCCCTTAAAAAAATGAGAAACTCCTTATGAGTCAACTGAAACCAGACATGGTTCTGTGTGTGACCTCTATTAACGGAGGAGAAAAAGAATTATGAAAGAAGATTCTAGTTCCTGAAAGGAAATTATTCCATCCCTCCAAAATATTGGCCATATTGTTGATATAGAAGTCATTATAACAATACACCTTGTTGATGTACAAAATTAAAAAAATCATCAAAACCTTCAGCTGAATTGCAATTTTTTTACACAGATAACTCTAGAAATACAGACCAAATTAATTTATTTTTTTCAAGGACAATTAATTGTCAGTTAAATATACATTAATTTGAACTTCAGTGTTAAATGCATTTTCCTTTTGCAAAATTATGATCAGAATACTTGCTTTAACACATTCCTTATAATACATGTAATTTATTTAAAACTATTTTAAAAGGAGTGGATTGCATGCAGATAATCATATAATTTTCTAGACACATTTTTGTCTATATAGATAACTATCAGAACTTATTTCATTTTTAAAATGTTTTTATGTTTCAAGGAAGATACAAAAGTGCCTTGCAATTGGAGTGACTGATTTTAAGATCCACCACAGGTAATCAATAATCTCTGAAGCACTTTTGATTGATTATATAGATTCTAAAGGGAAGACTCTCTACCATTGGCAGTTTTAAATGTAAGCACATGAACATTACCAATAACAGAGATTTCTTGTATTAATATATTTATAAAAATGATATTTATGAAATTGAAATGCATGGTTGAGTTTTAAGAAAAAAACATTTATTCATTAACTATATAAAATTCATTTAAGCAATGAAATACTGTATTGTGAAAGGTGTAGAATTTTAAAACAATAAGGATTTGAACAGGAAAAAAAAAGAAAGAAAATTAATCCTCAATCCTTGAGGGATGGGAAAGGGGAAATTTCCTTCTCTTCTGTTCTTCTACTATACAGGCCAAAGGATGTCTCACAGCAGAATAAATAGTATAGCAGGAGATACCACATCCAAAAAGAAGCAAGCCCATGAGTCAAAATTAGGAGACAACTCAGAAAACTGTGACCTTTGTAAGTCATGCAGACATCTAGTCTTGAGTATTGGGATTGAGTTGCAGAAAAGAATATGCTCAGGGAGCCCAACTGAGCAACTTACTAGCACAGACAATGTACTCAGGGGAAGTGGCATAAGGTCACTATATGAAGAAAAAGATTAGTGGAGTCCTGAGGTTCTGGATTGTAAGTTGCCTGTGCTGTAACTGTTTACTGTATCCCAGTACTAGATCCTACTCATATACTCTATGTGTATGCTCATTCATTCCACTGATGCTTTTGTGCAGTTCTGGGAGAATGTTACAAGTATATTGGGGGAGGGTTTTTAAAAAACTATTGTTTTCATGATGCCATTTCAGAAATGATCAGCTGATTATTAAAAGTAATACATTGCTAGGAACTTGTGTACTCTAGTTTTAAAAGTTCAGCTCCACTAGGTACTTTGAACCTAACAATAATCATCCCACTTTCCCTCCAACCCACCCAAATCCTCATCTTCCACATGCAGATTAGAAGGAGGGACACACTCAAAAGGGGAGATTCATCAAGTCTAAATCAGCCTTTCTGCAGTTTTCACCCAAAGCTTCCCTTTGGAACAGAAAGTCGATTCTCTATTCATGTGATACAATCTTAAACACATGGACTTCTATCATTGGATAGCTTGGGATATCTTGAAGTAGCAGCATGGTGCAACAGAACAAGTGCTTAATTATGAGTCTGGAGAACTGGGTTTGTCTCTACCTCCTGTGCGACTTTGGGCAATTTACAATTCATTCAGTTTCAACTTAGAGGCAGGTAAGTGGCATAGTGGATAGAGCACTGGGTCTTGATTCAGGAAGACCTGAGTTCAAATCCAGACTCAGATACTAGCTGTGTGATGCTGGACAAATCACAACCTCAGTGTCTCCAACTGTAAAAATGGGGAGCACCTATTTTGTAGCATTATTGTGAGGATCAAACACATAGTAGGTGTTATAAAAATGCTTGTTTGTTTATCTGCTCATCATTTATATTAGAGGTTAAGATTAGATGATCGCTAAGGTTCCTTTTAGCTCTCAGTCCAGGAGACTTCCCTTCTCCCTACCCAAATCATTTGTTCTTCAGATTTAATATTCCCAGTTTTTTTAGCTGATGTTTACATAGCATGACTATGAGGTCCTTCACAATTCTGATTGTCCTTCTTTAATTTCTCTCTAGTTTATAAATTTCCTTCCTAAAATTCTGTTGTTCTTCAGATATAGTTTGACCAAGACAGAATATAACAAGATTATCATCTCTGTAGATCTGGAAACTATGCCTTTCTTATGGTAGCCTAATATTAAGTTAGCTTAATTGATATCATGTCACATAAGCAGCAGAATGCTGGCAAATGTTTAACAACCAGTTCTGTGGGGGGAACATGTATATATGGCACTTTTAAACTTAATCTTCATATTTTTCCCATCACTTTCATAAATCTAGACAAATCAACAAAACAATAAAGTGGGTACTGATTTGTAGCATCTGTCAATTTCTGAAGTGTAAATGTTCCTGAAAATGTAACAGTTATCTCTCTAGTCACTATGAGCTAGTTCCAGCACACTCTTGCACATGGGTGCCTCCTAATGAGTTAATCATCTACTAAAATCCCTAGATGTTTTCTCAGATAACTACTTATTTTATGTTTATAAAGATTTTTTCCTAGTGTTTTTTGTCTTTTAAAAAAATTATTATGAATTTTGCAATCATCAAAAGATAAATTTCAATGTACAGAAAGAAAAGCAACAAAGTGAATATGTAGAACCTCCGTTCATGTTCTATGTAGTTTTTAAATTTAGTAAAGCAATAACAAAAATTGCCTTTTCCTTGACCCTTCTGAACTTTTTTGGGTTTATTCTGTGTATTTTATTGGTTTGCTTACATTATTTTTTTCTTTTCTTTTTTTCATCTCTAACACAACCCACTAACTTATCCCTCCCAATAGAAACCCAAACTGAACCCCAGTCCCTTGTATAAATCAAGAATAAGTATGATGAGTATAGATCATAAGTATAATAAGTATGGTCAAGTCATAAATATAATAGTCATTAGTATACACTAAGTACAGTGAAGCAAAATAAATCAACACTGTGACCATGTCTGAAAATGTATGTCTCATTTTGCACTTCTTGCCCATCACCTCTGTCAGGAGGTAGGAGGTATATCATTAATCATAAGACTTTTAAAGTCATGTTTGGTCACTACATTGATCAGAGTTCTGAATTCTTTCCAAGTTGTTTTTCTTTACATGAACATGGTCATCATGTAAATTTTTATTTTTTTTATTATTTGATTTTCCCCCAGTTAAATGTAAAAAACAATTTTTCACGTTCATTTTTTAAAATTTGGAGTTTCAAATTCTCTTCCTCCCTCCCTCCCCAAACCCCACATTGAGAAGGCAAGCAATTTGATATAGGTTATACTTGTGTAGTCATGCAAACCACTTCCGTAATAGTCATATTGTGAAAGAAAACAGACAAGAAAAAGCACTTCAAGAAAAATAAAGTAAAAAAAAGTATGCTTTAATCTGTATTCAGACACAATCAGTTCTTTCTCTGGGGATG